TGTATGTATGTGTGTGTGGTGTGTTCTCTGCACCCGCAGAGAACCAGTAGTCAAAAGGCATTTGTGTTTACTACCACCGCTTACTCTTCATGGTAGTTCTGTGTGGTTTATTATCTTATTTCAAATGTAGAAACCAGACATCAGATGAAGAGATCCATCTAAAGTCATGAAGTTAGTAAGTGGCACACCCAGGATTAGTGTCAAGCTTGTGTCACTAGTGTGTACTGGACAAGGATCCTCAATGCCATGTTTGTGCTGTGCTGCCTGTGTTTCTTCATGTGTCATGTGATATCTAGTTGGTCACATTTTAGCCTGCCCCCCATACTGTCACCTCCCCTCTCTTATCCTCATTGGCCACTATACCACTGACACATGACGGAAGACCTGGAAGTGTCTGACAGGTTGGGTCAAAGAGGTCCAACACTTTCTCTGATCTCCCTTGTCTACAAGTATCCTTATGTGACATCCCTTCTTGTCACCTACCAGCACATGTCATTTGGAGTCATTTTGGAGTCTAGGGTATTTCTCATTGAAAGGAGGTAGCACTGTCAGCTTTTATACACACCTCATTCATCTTTTTCTGGATGAAAAATCCAGAATCAGAAAATAAAAGCCAATGGCTGAAGGACGTGTAGAACTTTCCAATGGTATCTTCCAAGATGTTCCAAAAATACTTCAGTCTGGCTGAACATAAATAACCCTGGTAGGAATTGTCCCTGTTGGGAAACATTATTACCCCAAAACAAAAATAAGTGGCCAGTAGAGATTTTCTTAGGAGAACTCTGTCTATCTGTGTGCTGTGTCTTTGACAAAGCAATATGAATAAGCAATCCTTTTGTCAAGGCTGATTTGCTTTTATGCTTGAAAAGGTAGCCATAAAGATGGACAACAACATTTTCCTTATTTTGGCACAACAGCAGCTTTTAAATTTGTATGTAATGAGTCTGCCTCCGAAATCTCCACTCAAGAACCTCAGCCTAGATTGACAGTGCTATTTCTTTTCAAGGCTTCGGTAGTCAAAGCAGGCAAATGGCCTTGTTTTCCCTTGCTGATGACAGCTCTATGACCCTGGTTTAATGATGTCATTAGAAACTGTCCACATTCTAGGGGGAAGGATCCTTCTTTGGATTTTTCCAATATTGTGCTGCATAAAGTTTGGGCCAAAATGGTACTGTCTATAGCCCCTGGGTCTTCTTCTGAATCACCTCAAATAAGTTCCTAACAGGGGCGTGATAAAAGGACTGTAGTTATGATGCAGTCTCAGAGCTGATTAGCAAGGCAGAATCCATTTTACAAATACTGATTTTTTTTTTCCCTCCATGCACCTGAAAACTGCAAAGCCAGCAAGTGGCAATAAAATCAGATACTACTTAGTCAGTTTCACTGGAAAGTCCCATGTGATTTACTGAGGTTTGGGTCCCAACATGAGGAGGAAAGAGATAGGACAGAATAATTATGGCCTTCAGATTCTATAAATGTATGACATTTGCTTCTCGGCTTCTTTCTTGTGGCCTAGGGACTACCCAGAATCATGAGTCAACCCACCTTGTTGTTCCCTTCACTCTGCAGAAGGGCTGTTTTCCAAATGAGATAGGGAAGTACCTCGTGATCGTGTCCAGACACGTAGACCTTCTTGTTTCCATCGTTGCCTCTCGTGTTCCCTTGGGGAGAAGAAAAGAACAATGGCTTTGTCTCAGCCATCTCAAACTGGTGGCAAATGCTTTTATTTATCCGCTCAAAGGCTACCTCCTCTGGAAATCTACCCTGGACTTCCTTTGGAAGAATTCAGTCTTATGTATGCAAGGCCTTTAAACATTGATGGATAGGTGTAATGAAAAAACTATGTGTGAGTTTCAAAAACACTAAAATATGTGGCTTTTAATTCAATTTTTCCACAAACTTGTTGAAGTACCCTCACACTTCTGCACAGCATCTACCTTGAGGTTTCTTTATAGATCTTCCTCCTACTCATGATCATCTCAGAGAAGACATGTGTCAGTCATGCATCATGATACCCCCAGTGCTGACACTGAACAAGGCCCAGTGTTTGGGAGTAGATGTTTGCTAAGTTATGATGGCCTGGCAGCCAGACCCTCCCATCATCATGGCCTTTTACATGAAAGATTCCCAAGTTCTGAGTTTAACAGCTGTTGCCTGATTAGAATCCAAGGATGGAAACAGTCAAGCCCACCATACAGAAGTTTAAGACAAAAAGACTTTTTTAGATTGTTTGCGTTGAATCATCAACCTGTCATTTTTTTTCAGAAGCATCCATGCTGCGTTTACTCTCATAGATGCCCACAATGTGTTTAGAAAGCTCTAGGCAGTGGGCTGGGCCCAACCATAAAGGAGGATGTAATGAAATTCAGAAGGAACAAGGACTCTGATTTCAGACACCCCCCCATAGTCATTTACAGGGAAAAGCAGATTCTCAGTGTTCTTGCAAAACTTAATTCATCATCTTTCCACCTCCTCCTCACAGCTGACTTTTAGCTACACTGATATTTAATATGGACATTTTGATATACCATCAATCCATTAACTCAGCTCACATATACTGAATACTTACTATATGCCAAACATTTATGCTAGATGCCCACAATCCAGCAGGAGTATCAAGATTGGTATGATTCATGGCCCAGAAGGAAAGACAGACACTAAGTTAATAAAACTCATAGTTGCTTAATTATACATAATTTTTGGTCTTAGTTCACTGGGTGGCTATAACAGAATGCCATGGATGGCTTATAAACTATCAGAATTTGTTTCTCACAGTTGTGAAGGCTGCAAGTCCAAGATGAAGGCACTAGCAGTGTCTGATGAGGTCCCGATTCTTGGTTCAAAGACAGAACTCTTTACACTACATCTTCCCATGATGGGAGGAGCAAATGAGCGCTCTAGGGTCTCTTTGATAAGGACCCTGCCCTTGTGACCTAATTGCCTCCCAGAGGATGCATCTCCAAATACCATCACCATGAGGATGAGGTTTGAGCATCTGAACATTTGGCTGGAGGTTGGGGAGGGGAAGATATTTAGTCCGCTGCAGTAAGTGTTAGCAAGTAGGTAAACTAGGTATTACAAGCAAGTATAACACAGAGGCTCAGCTTCCAGAAGTGAAATTCTGAAGCTTAAGTATGGAGGAGGAGAGGGGAGCGATGCTTAAGACAGCCTCCAGGTAGGAAGAAGACTGACCATGCAAAGGCACCACCGAGCTCTGAGAAAGAAACCACTAGTTACATTTGCATGAAGCTCATGTGGTAGCAAGCAAAGGAACACCCTCTGGCTAACTCGTGGATAGAAGAAGTAACTTGAAAAGGAAATGAGAGATTCTCAAGGACATGATATCCAGGAAGATTCACTAAACCTCGAGGGAATTAGAAAGCTAATAAATGTCAAAACTCCTTTCTGCCACTCCAGACTACTTCTCTCTCCTGTTTTTTCCTCTCCTTTCCTCCTTCTCTCTCTATATTCTGGGTTTTTTTTTCCCTCTCTTTTCTGTGTCAAGCATCTTACTCCACTTTGACAGGGCCCAGAATGGCCATGAATCCTGAGACTGTATTATCTTGCTGCTTCATCTCCACTCTCCCATTTCGATCTCATTGCAGTCTCAATGTCTCCCAGTTCCATGGCTTGAGGAACAAATCTGCTTGATGTACCACTTACAGAACTATTGGTTGACTGGGTCAGGTTCCCCATGTCTGGAAGTCTTACGTTTTGCCACCCACAATGGGCAAATTAATTCATGCTCCATGTGGTCTAGATGGAGTTTCCCAGCAAGGAAGACAAAGGACATAACCTTCAGAATGTAACTGGCCATAGACCTTGATCCAGGGGAGTAACCTACATCAGAATTGGATGAGAATTCTAGAATGAAGAACTCTATCTTCCATGGCTATTTCAAAAAGGAAAAGTCATTCTTCATTTAGATAGTGTGATAGTATATTGTGAGATCCTTAGTAATATTTTTGTGACATGCAGGGAAGCCAGTCTGAGCATGGAGCCAACCCATAGGAACCAAAACCAAGATCTTGAAGGAAAAAACTCAGCTGTGTTGACATCATCTGACATCTGGTTCCAACCTTACCTGAAGGTGGACTACCCCATGACATTTCCATGCCAGTGGATTCCTTTTGTTATTTAAAACCAGTTTTTGTTGGAGTTTTCTGCTGCTTGAAAAGAAAGAAAAAGTCAAACCAACTTGCATTGCTCCTCATTCTGTCAGTTATAACAGGGGAGGCTGGGAAAACAAGTTAATGTTCCAAGTGAAAAATGATGATTTAATAAGGTGATCAATGCAAAGTATATTCAAGGCATGCAGATAGAGATTTGAAAAAACAAGTAGTGTGGCTAAAGCATTGCCACTATAACTGAATCCATAAGCAAGGAAGAAATAAAAGCAGTGGTCAATTCTTAAAATAAATTGCTCTGTCTTTTCTAAAGAATTTTAATCACATTTTTATCACTTCATTAATTTTTTCCATTTTTCTTGAAAACGGTAACTATTCTTCCCAGAAATAGCCACAGGCTAAGTTGGAAGCATCTCAAATGAGCCCCTTTTGAATTATTCATGTAAAAAAACTCTATAGATATCCAGAAATAGGGTGTCTTTCTGTTTCCATAACTAAAACACAACTGACTGCAGTTTGCTAAAAAGAAAAACAGTTTGAACTGAAATCAAATTTGCAAAATATCGCCCCATTTTTCTTTCCACAAATCAAATTTGCTGGAGAAAACTGGAAAAATTCTAGAACTGTAATGAAAACCTTTGATTCTTACTCTTTGTTTAGGAATGTGTGTGTGTGTGTGTGTGTGTATATGCACATGTTGGAAATTCTAATTAACAAGAAGGCAGGCAGGTGCCTCCACAAGACAGCATTTTTCTGACACAGTGCCACAGTGTCTGGTGGTAGATGTGATTCTGACTCTGGGCTGTGTATGAAAATCTTCTGTGTAGGTCTCTGGTTACTCTTCCGCTCATGCTTTTCTGTTCTCTTCTTAAGGAACGCAAATTTCCCAAGTTTGTATCCAAAGAAATGGAAAACATGTACATCGAAGAGCTAAAGTCGTCCGTCAACCTGCTCATGGCCAACCTGGAGAGCATGCCTGTGTCCAAAGGCGGGGAGTTCAAACTGCAGAAGCTAAAGCGCAGCCACAACGCCTCCCTCATTGACATGGGCGAGGAGAGCGAGAACCAGCTCTCCAAGTCAGACGTCGTGCTGTCTTTCTCCTTGGAGGTAAAAAGCCCTCAACTCTTGGATGTTGCCTGGCCCAGCAAGCAGGACATGAGTGATACCGTGGTTAGCCTCTCTTCCACCTTCCACCCCAGGGGGAGTTATTAAAATAGCAGCTTGGGAAGCATAGCTCAGCTAATCAGCAAGTGAGGCCCCATCTCCAGGAGCCCACATTTTTCTAGGAAAATATACTCTTCAAAAAAATCATCTGCTAAATTTAATCTTTCATTCCTTTCTGTGGCTTACATAGTATCCAAGGATTTTTGTAAAGTAGTAAGGCAGTTTCGAAAGTTGCAGGTTTTGGCAAACTTTGTTGCAGTTGTAAGAGGGGCAATCAAACATTAACTCAAGTTTAAGTGTAACTTTTCTTTCCATCATCATTCTTGATGGCTGTGCAGTACAGAATCTCTTGTCTGAACATCAAAGCAAGAACCCGCTCTTGGGGCAGTCATTGTGGTGCAGAGTACCCTCTGCTTGGGGCCCATGCATCTCATGTCTAGAGTGCCTGGGTCAAGTCCCACCTCCACTTCCGATCCAGCTTCCTTTGAATGCACTAGGGAGGCAGAAGCTGATGGCCTAAGTACTGGGGATCCTTCCACCCACATGGAAGACCTGGTTGGAGTTCCTGGCCCTTAGCTTTGGCCTGGCCAAGCTTCAGCTATTGTAGGCATTTGGAGAGTGAACCAGTGGATGGAAGATCTCAATCTCTCATTCTGTCTTTCAAATAAAGAAAAATGAATAAATAAAAATTTTTTTCAAAAATAAAGGACACTATCAGGCTACTATTATGGCAGAATGCGCCACATGTTAATAAATTCCTCATAATTTCTCTTCATTCGTTTGTTCTTCATATATACTCTATGGGGTGATTCTGATACCTACATCAGAGTTGCCCAGTAAGTTGGTTCAGTATACAGATGCCTAGACCCTACCCAGAATTGCCCAACCAGAGTCTCTAGGTAGTAGGGATATCTATTGTTAGAACCATTTTGCAAAAATAGGTTAGCATCTTCTCAAAACGTTAAACATCAAACTGTGATATGATCCTGGAACTCTACTGCTAGCTACCTGCAGAGTAGAAATGAAAGCATTGTCCCCTGCAAAGAGTTGATTGCCAATATTTATAGCAGAGTTTGTTCTGATAGCTAAAAATTAGGACAGTCTAAATGTCCATTCACTGGTGAATGGTTAGACAATCTATGATACGTACTTACCACACACTGCAGTTCAGACAAATGGTCCCCTAGTAGACATGGGTAACCCTCAGAAATATATGCTTGTGAAAGGAGGCAGACACAAGAGACTATCTCCTGTATAATTTTGTTGATTAGAAAGGTTGTGAAGGCAAATCCACAGAAATAGGAAGTAGATTAGTGTTGCAGGGCATGAGACAGAAATGGGCATCAGGGGTCTTATTGGCAAAGATAAAAATCGCTCAAGCTGATTGATCATGATGGTCAAACAGCTTGATAAATGTGCTAAACATAGCTGACTTGTGCAACTGAACTGGGCTAGTTATGTGACATGTAAAATACATGTCTGCAAAATTGTCAGAAATATAGCCCTGAATTGTGTGCATAAGTGACCCAGATATTTACTATGTACTCCAGAATTTATGAACCACTCATAAGTTATTAAAGTTCAAAATCCACAAGGCTTTTATGCTGACCCAGGATTAGGGGAGACCAAGAGAATAGGTCACATTTCTGCACATTTAATTAGAATGGGTAAAGACTAAATTAATTTTCTGGAACATCATTAAGGATTGCTATGAATTAAGTCCAGGTAATTTGTTTTTCTGTGCTCAGTTCAGAATTGAGATACTCATGTATTCTGCAGTCAAAAAAAAAAAAAAAAAAGGCAGTGTGCAATTAAATTTAGAGACCTTGGGGTGTGAAAAAAATCACCAGTGTAATTTCACAGAATCCTTCTCTTTTTTTAATGCTGCCAACTAAGATACTGAGCACTTTTTCTCAGGTGTCTTTGAATTTGATTATTGCTAATTAGAGGTGACAATGTATTCTCAACTGCCTCTTGTCTTTCTGCAGAAAGGAGGGGAAATGGTTTATTGATTTTCATGTAGCTTTTAAATATGTAATGTTCTAATTCTTGATTGCTTGTTAGGTATTATATCACTGATTATCTGAAATATCGGTAGACGAGGCCCCACAATGGTCTTATGTGTGCATGATTCAGAGGACTTTGGCTTGTAAATACAAGTACGGAATGAAATGCCCTAGGGCTCCCAAATCCTGTTTAATTAAAACACTAAATTGCACATCATAGTAAAGCTGGCAGTAACACTATTACACATCTATTTGTGAATGTGTTTGGGCCTTGAGAGGGAGAGGCAAAGAGAGTGGGGAAGGTGGAGAGAGAATTGTCATCATAGCAGACTGAGATTTCAACTTGCAGGTTGGTACAAGCCATGGGAGGGTTTGGTGTGATGACAGTTGCATGGTTGGAAGGGACACCAGAGACTGGTTAACTTTGCAGCAAGGGAACTGGAGTCCAGGATCTGAGTGACAAGGCCTTGAGCAGGCGCAACTGTGATTGACAGCAACAGGATCTGTAGAATGCCTCTGTGGGCCAGGTGTTTTACTATCATTAACTCAGTGAGTCCTCACAACAGTCTTTTGAGATAACTGCAGATGTGAAAACGGTTTCAGGGGGGTTAAGAAACCTGCAGACCATTCCACAGCTATGAAGATGTACAATCAGGACTGGTGGTCAGATCTTTTACATTCCAAAAATTGTGCTATGTCCATGGCTCCTTCCATTTCTTTCCACTTCCATGGCTTTTCCTAGTGTAAAAGCTGTCAGTGAAAGGACAACCCCTCACTTTTCAGCCTCACACAACAGCCACAGAATATGCATATTGATTGCCAGCTACCTAAAGAAAATTGAATCCCTGAGGGTTTGAAAGAAAAATGGAGGGATTTAAACACTAGCGCATGTGTCCAACATCCCATGAGTTGCATGGTTCCTGGGTCAGCCGCATCAGCATCACCAGGGAAATCGTTTGATATACAAAGTCCAGGGCTCCACCCAAGATCTACTGATCAGAAACTGTGGGACTGGAGTCCAGCCGCTTCTTGTCCAACAAGCCCTGTAAGAGATTCTAGTTCACACTTACCCTGAGAATCAGTTGGTTTTTATTTTTGTTTTAAAGGTTTTATTTATTTATGTGAGATGTAGAGTTATAGACAGAGGGAGAGACAGAGAGAAAGGTCTTCCATCTGCTGGTTCACTTCCCAAATGGCCACAAAGAAAGAGTTTGGCCGATCCAAAGACAGAAACCAGGAGCTTCTTCCAAATCTCCTGTGCAGGTGCAGGGGCCCAAGTGCTTGGACCATCTTGTACTGCTTTCTCAGGCCACAGCAAAGAGCTGGATCAGAAGAGGAGCAGCCAGGACTAGAACCAGTATACATATGGGATGCTGGCTCCAGAGGTGGAGAAGTAACCTACTGCACCATAGCACTGGCCCCGAGAACCAGTTGGTTTTTAAACATCAAAAGTGTGACTTGAGGATCCCTATTATACTTCATTGAGTCAATCTTCACTGAGGAAATACACATTTCTTGCCCATTCAAATTGTTTTCCTTGCATGATGCTGTTAGCTTTCTTGAAGTACAGTTGAATGATTTCCCCTATGTGTCACTCACTGTAGATCTCTGAAATAAGTTGCTTGTTTTGTATTCTTAAATTGATGTCTCTTTTTCTTTTTCTTCCCTTTTCTTCCTCCACCTCCTCCTCACTCTTTCTCTTTCTCTCTCTCTCTCTCTCTTTCCCTCAACCCCCCCCCCCCAATCTGCTCTGTGCTTCTCTGTCTTTTTTCTCTCAACCTCCTCAAGACATATCACTAAGTATCAGTATATCAGGTTATTTCATGGGGATTGGGGTAATGTTGGGAAGTGCTAAAAATTGTATATAGTGCTTTGTGGTACATCGTAACACCAGCCTTTTCTTTAATGTAGAGCAGAGACCAGACAACTGTTGACACATTTTTGTTTGGGTTCAATGCCGCCCTGCACATAGTTTGCATATTTCATTCCTCCCTCTCTGGATTATTGTCAGAATTTTTAATCAGATTTCTGACTCTGGATCCCAATCAAATTACCACTTTCTGGTAGGAAAAATTGGAATATCTGCCAACTCTTAATGGGAGAAAGATAACACAACTATCATCTGCAAACAGCAGCTTCTCTTGAGAAAGAACAAGGGCTTTTAAGTTTGTCACAGTCTCTACCACTCCCTATCACATAAGGGTACTTGCACTTTATCTTGAATAAAGAATCACGAGTTCAGTGTCTCTTCATTTGAAGTGGAAAATCAAAAACTGTACTATCTTTAAAGAAAATGGATGATGAGGGCCAGCGCCGCGGCTCACTAGGCTAATCCTCCGCCTTGCGGCACCAGCACACCAGGTTCTAGTCCCGGTGGGGGTGCCAGATTCTGTCCCGGTTGCTCCTCTTCCAGTCCAGCTCTCTGCTGTGGCCCGGGAGTTCAGTGGAGGATGGCCCAAGTGCTTGGGCCCTGCACCTGCATGGGAGACCAGAAGCACCTGGCTCCTGGCTTCGGATCAGCACGGTGCGTCAGTCGCAGCACGCCGGCTGCAGCAGCCATTGGAGGGTGAACTAATGGTTTCTCTCTGTCTCTCTCTCTCTCTCTCTCTCTCTGTCCACTCTGCCTATCAAAAAAAAAAAAAAAAAAAAGGAAAGAAAGAAAATAGATGATGGGGCCTGCATTGTAGTGTAGCAGGTAAAGCTACTGCCTATGGTGCCAACATCCCATATTGGCACTGGTTCAGGATCCTGCTGTTCCACTTCCAGTCAAGCTCTCTGCCAATACACCTGGTTAAGAAGTAGAAGATGACCCATTTCCAGGAGGATTGGGCCCCTGTATCCATGTGGGAGACCCAGATGAAGCTCCTGATTTGGGACTAGCCCAGTTCCAGCCATTGCAGCCATTTGGGGAGTGAACCAGTGGATGCAAGTTCTCTCCCTCTCCCTCTCCCTCCCCCCCGCCCACCCGTAAACTCTGCCATTCAAATAAGTCTTTTCAAAAAAGAAAAGAAAAAAGATGAAAATCTATTTCTTGGTAGAAATGAAACTATGTATTGGATGCAGAAAGAATAGCCTATTTCACATGACCTGTGTGGCCTGCAAGCACCTTAGTTATCCATCCATGTCTTTCCATCTGGGAGGCAATTAGCTACACTATGAGGAATTGCACCTCCGTGCTAGACTGCTCCCAGCAGGACTGGTGGAGAACTGATGTGTGACATCTCACAGCAATTGACTTTCTCTGTGCCTTCTTGTTGTCTAATTTCTCTGGGGTGGTGTCGCCCATGGGCATTGGCACTGACTCCATTCTGTGTGTTCTATTTCCAGGTGGTGATCATGGAAGTCCAGGGACTGAAGTCTTTGGCCCCAAATCGCATCGTGTACTGCACAATGGAGGTGGAGGGAGGAGAGAAACTACAGACTGACCAGGCCGAGGCTTCCAAACCCACGTGAGTTTGCTTGTCCGTGTTCCACTTCCAGAGGCTTGTTGCTGTGGGTCTCATTGTGGCCAGCTCTAAAGTAGAGCATGCTTTCCCTGAGAAGGTCCTGGAACGTAATGACTTTGCGGCTTTCTCGAGCATGATGATTTTAATATGTTTTTATTTGGCAGCTGTAACAAAGATTCCAGTTCCATCAAATCACATAACAGAAGGAAATTAAAGAGACAGTGTTGTTTCTGCAGGTTTAGGTATTCACCTCAAGGAAAGTCATACCTCCTGCATGTTAATGTGATGTGCATGAAAGCTTGATAAAAATTTATCTTACTGCATTTTCTCAGTAGTAGCTCTTTTATAGTAAAAGAAGCCTTTTTCAAGTCTTTATCTGCTTGTCAGTACAGTTCTAACTGTATTGACAAAGCTGTATGCTATGTTGAACACAATACATTAATTCATGAAGTTAACACAGTGTCGGCAAATGTTCCCTGGGTGTGTGTACAAAGTATAGTTGCACAGTGGAAAAGACAGTCCCTGGTGTAGCTCCCTAGAGCTTACAGGTTGGTGTGGGCATCAGAGAAACAATCACACAAGTCTACAATTGTACATGGAATTGATTGTCCATATCTGTGGGTTCCATATACACACATTCAGTCCAACATAGATAGAACATATTTTGGGAGAACAATTTGTGTCTGTCCTGATCATGTGCAAACATTTTTCCTTGTCATTCTTCCTTTAAAAATGATATATAACAACTATTTTCACAGCATTTACATTGCATAAAGTATTATTATAAGTAATGTAGAAGGGTTGGCGCCATGGCTCACTTGGTTAATCCTCCACCTGCGGCGCTGGCGCCCATATGGGTGCTGGGTTCTAGTCCCGGTTGCTCCTCTTCCAGTCCAGCTCTCTGCTGTGGCCCGGGAGTGCAGTGGAGGATGGCCCGAGCACTTGGGCCCCTGCATCCAAATAGGAAACCAGGAAGAAGCACTTGGCTCCTGGCTTCAGATCAGCGCAGAACCAGCCGTAGCGGCCATTTGGAGAGTGAACTAACGGAAGGAAGACCTTTCTCTCTGTTTCTCTCTCTCTCTCACTGTCTATAACTCTGCCTGTCAAATAAAAAAATTTTTTAAAAAATAAGTAATGTAGAGATAGGCAGGTTCTATGCAAATGCCACACTGTTGTACAGAAGGAGCTTGAGCATCTTCATATTTTGGGATAGTCGGGAAGATCCTGAAACTAATTGCTTGTAGATGCTGAGGGACAACCGTAGTTGTCAGTGCAGAGAAAGAGTTCTGGGAGAGGAGATAATGGGGCGCCTGAACCACCTGGTAGAGGCAGAGTCCGAATAGACCTCCCTTAGGACACATGAGCCTTTGAGTTAATTCTGTAGAAGTTGAGGAATGGGGTTGGCACGGAGAGTGTTCCAGGCAGAGTGCACAGCTTGCACAGGAGTCCAGAGGTCAGCCAAGGTCCTGTGACACAGAAGAACTCAAGAGGCCAGAGCAGCTGGAGCCTGGAGAACAGTGGCTGTCCCAGGCTTCTGGAGGGGCAGGCAAGGGCCGTGCCATGAAGCCACATGAGACTACAAGGTGGGAAAACACGATGTGACATGGTGAGGTTTGTGTTTGGCAAAGACCACTCTGGCTGCAGTGGTGGGACCAGAGTGCATGCAGGGGGCTTGTTAGGATCCTGTGGCCGTGGTCTGCAGGAGCCACAAATGTCCACACATTTGGGTCAATAGACTCTCAGGCCTCAAAGATTTCTTAAGAAATCACTGCTCACTTGCCTCTCTGCCCACTGCCTCTCTCCCTTCCTTTCTACCTTGTTAACCAGCATAGCCTAATAAGCATCTGTTTTTGTTGTGTTCATTTATCAGAGAGTCATCCAAAGGGTAACTCCGAACAGCAGCTCCCTGCCTCTCCTCCCCCAGAGCGCTACGAGCTGTTTGGCAGGACATGAATAACTTACCAGGATGTTTAAACAAAATAGTTCAAAGAAAGCACTGGATGTTTCCCCGGCTAGAGAAAGGCTGAGGGCATTGTATGCCTTCAAGTGGTTCTCTGCATGAATAGGCAAAAGCCGGAGAGTCTCAGAAGCCGGGTGACATTAATGATTGTGTGCAAGAGGAAATGGAGACCAGTGCCACTCATCACATAGCACCTGCCCTCCTGTTTTTAAAACTGGCCTGCAAACTGACAATGAATGCAGTTTCTTTTTCCACTGCCATTGATGAGATACCCAGTGTTTCCTCAGATGGCCTGATCATTATCAGCACTCTTATGTTATGCTCCACTAGTTAAAACGTGTGATGCTTGCGGGAACAGAAACCTATTTGATGTTTTTGCCAACCTTTTAAGGTCTCGGGCCCAATATGGTTTCATAAGCTAATGAAGGAAGGTGAAAGTTCTGAATATTCTAACAGACTGTTGTTATTTTAACTCAAAATGTAATTCGTAATATTTCATTGAGTGTAACAGTTTCAGTTGCCAAGACAAATGATGAATTGATTTTTGGGTCCCTGTGAAGGTTCCAAAGAATTTCACGTTATAAATAAATATAGGATGCTTGGATTTACCTACTTGAAATGCTCGTGTTTCACATAATGCTATTATCCATATTCATAGTCATGTATTATATACATGCTATATCCATATTCATATACTCATGTCCATGCATTCATATCCATACAGGTACAGTATGATGTCCTTATGTATAAACATCTCACACTGAAACATTTTGCTTTTCCAGCTGGAAATAGACATTTCTGGAACCCTCTTTAGGCAAGGAGTGGATATTACTGAAATTCCACAGAGTGCTCATTGATTTGTTTTTTAATATATTAAGATTGCAGATTTTATGACCAGGATCAAATCAAATCAGTCAGTATTAGCTCCCTAGAGTGATGGATTAAGAAGGGCTCTGAAACAAAATGTGTATGTGGAGGGAAATAGTGCCATGATCAACTTGCAAGGCCTGCCATGAAGGCATATAAGTGCCCTGTATTTGCCATATATGTGGTATCCCAGAGAGATAGGTCTGGAGTTTCAATCCTGACACCATTCAAGTTTCTTCTTGTCTGTTCTTTGATCCTTTCTTTTTGTTTTAAAGATTTAGTTATTTATCTGAAAGACTTATACAGAGAAAGAGAAGGGGAGAGACTGATCTTCCATCCTTTGGTTCACTCCTCAAATGGCCACAACAGCTAGGCCAGGGCCAGGCCAAAGCCAGGAGCTTCTTCCAGGTGTCCCACATAGATGACCAAGAACCTGGGCCATCTTGCACTGCTTTCCCAGGCCCATTGGCAGGGAGCTGGATCAGAAGTGGACTTGAACCAGCACCCATAAGGGGTGTCACCAGTGGCCTAACCAGATAGGCTACAATGCCAGCGCCTAAATCCACAATTCCTTGCCCAACACTTGTTAAAGTATTCTTTTCCACAGTGCAGGTCTGGCTGCTTTCCTCTGCTTCTGAGTTTACCTGGTGGGATGAATGAGCCTGTCACCCTAGTCTGTTTTTCTTCCCGCCTCACTAGTTTTGAAATACCTGGACTCCTCTTCATTTCCTCTCTTTGAAGCCTGTATTCCTTCTCCTTTGTCTCCTGTTAGTGATCTCCAGCTTTCGTCTCTCTTACTTGATTTTGATTCTCCCAAAAAGTTATGCTTTGGGAGATTATTTTGTTCTAATAACTCCATTTTATCCTCTGATGATTTGGCCTTTTTCCAATCCTGTGTATGATCTGGATCATTGTTTTGACTATTCTTACAGCCACCAGATCTCCACACTTTATTGGAGGGTATCTCAAAAAGTCCATGGAAAGTGAAATTACAAGATAAGTTTATTTTGATGCCAAAAATTTTAAAATCATGCACACAAAAAATCTTCAAAGAGTTTATGGAAAAATTCATACCAGGAAAAAATAAATAGATTTTAAAATTTTTGGCACAAAAATAAGCAGCTTTTAACTCAGTATTTTTCATGAAGTTCATGAAATATCATCATATAATCTGAAATCAGAAGTCCATCCAAACCTGCTTTGCTGATTGCTCCTGAATTCATTGTTGCTGCTAGTAAGAATTATAACAACTAGCTGGAACCATAACTTCTTGCTCTGTCATCTCTATGAGAAATTTGGCTTTCATGTATTTTTTTAAGTACAGCCACACATCCAGGAGTCCATTACATAACTCTGTTTGTGTGAGAGTGTAATCTTTGAAACTCTGATGTGTAGGATATACCAAGACCACAAGGGCAGGAAGAGTAGCTTCATGGTCAGGTGAGATTGATAAATGTGAAACATTGCATTTCTTTCTCAGTTATCCACAGTGTTAACTTATAACTTGCTGAGTTATTCACAGTGGCATTTTACAGGCTTTGAAAAATCCCAGCAGTTTAACTTTGGTTAACTTTGGTTATCTATGATTCTCTTCAACGTTGTTTCAACTAAAACCTGTTGACATCCTTGGGAGAAAGCTGGGTTCAGTTTCTAATCGTTGTCATGGAGATTCTGAGCTCTCCATCACTCTTTTATCAGTGCTGTCTCCCTGTGCACACAAAGCCCTGCCCAGCCTGGTTCTTTTGGATCAGTTGCATAATATAAGAATGCTATGTCCATGACTTTAATACAGATCATGGTGTGGCACAAATATGGTGTGTGGCAGGTGGGCCACTATTTTATACTTTCAGCTCAATGGTGAACCCCCTGCTCGTCCTTCATTTTATCAATCTCTTAGCTACATGTGGGTTCTTTTTTTTTTAACTTTTATTTAATGAATATAAATTTCCAAAGTACAGCTTATGGATTACAATGGCTTTTTCCCCCATAACTTCCCTCCCACCCGCAACCCTCCCCTCTCCCATTCCCTCTCTCCTTCCATTCACATCAAGATTCATTTTCAATTATCTTTATATACAGAAGATCAGTTTAGCATATATTAAGCAAAGCTGGTTATTTTCAAACATCTATCTGTCAACCATAAATCCTCTCAACTCTGTTGTCTTCCTATTCCAAA